AAGGGAGCTGTCCTAGGATGATATGGGGTGAGAGATCTGAGTAGGTCACAGAGATGCACAAAGGAGAAAGAGGGGAGCGAGGAGATGGTGGCTAACTTCATTAACTACTTAGGGAGCATTTACAATGTGAGAAGCTTTCATGCAACATTCACAACATGTAACCTTTACAACAACTCTGAGCAGTAAATATTCATGCTCAATTTATTGCCATTAGGATGTTTTCCTCTCTGCTCCCATTTGTAAAGTAACTCGACAGTGTCCTTTCATTTTATTTCTTCCCCCAATTTCTCCAACACTTGCATTTCCCTTGCTGTGGTTTTCCATTCCGTGCCAAGATAAATCTGCCTAGTACATACACATCACGTGTCTGGTGTGTGTCCTTCCTCTCCAGTCACTTGGAGAACTGAGAGCAATGACATAGTCAGTGGAGTACCTGCTCCATGTTCTTCACAGTGAGAAAGCAGAATTATTTGTTGAGCTATGGTAGTGTCCTGCACTGGTCAGCATGGGGTTGGTGGTTCAAGTTCACCAGCTGCTTTGAGGAAGAAAGATGGGCAGTCTTCTCCTAAGAGTCAGGAGTAACTCTTTAGCAATAGGCAACTTTAATGTGCTTGGTTTAGTATCTTTTGAAATTAGTAAACTGTGAAGATTCTTGTTGTTATGTCCTGTTGAGTAGAAATCATCTCATAGCTGACCCTCCAATGGGTTTCAGAGGCAATAAATTGCAAGAGAGGAGGCTGCCCATCTTTCTCCTCCAGAACAGCTGATGTGGTTCAAACCACATGCTTTTGGCTTGGCAGGGCGATTCCTTACCACTTAACCACCAAAGTGCTCTGGTGGCCTATTAGCAAATGCTGGGCAGCAGTTCAGAAGGCATGTGGTTTGAAGTCACTAGCTATTCTGAGAAGGATGGGCAATTTCTCCCTATACAAGTTACTGCCTCTAAAAACCTACCTGAGGGTCAGCTTTGAGTCGGTTCTGACTCAATGGTATACAACAACAACAAGCCCCCAAGGTCAATTTGACCTAAAACTTTTGGATTATAAATTATCTCCTAAGGATCGTTCTGATTCATGTTTTAGAATTTCTCTGATAAGAAGATTAATTTCCAGCCAAGATTCCTTAAACAATCTGTCATGAGGAATCAGAATGGTTTTATTTTAGATGTGTAAGGTACCTTGGGTGGCATTCAGTGTTATTTTCAATTATTTACATTGACAAATGGGAGAGTTGAGCCAACATGTTTACCTGAGGATCCCAAGACATTAAGCAAGTTGCTCCTTCCTCCGTGTAAAGGATACTTTTACTACAGCACAATGGAAAACCACTCCAGGTCAAAATAGTAATTTCACAATCAACAGGAATTAATAAAAATTGCTTCGACCTACATGTATTTACACATACATATATATGTTTTTCTGAGGGAGAAAGATGGGCAATCTCCTCCTGTTTGATATATTGCCTCAGAAAATCAGCTGGAGGGTGAGCTATGAGCTGGTTTCCACTAAATGATACATAACTCACACTTTATTTTTTTATTTATTTTTTATTATTAAATTTTATTAGTTTTAATGAACATTTACAGAGATTTTGGGTTTTCATTCACTTATTGTTGCAACTCACACTTTATTATCTTCTCAAATTTATGCCTGTTACTTCAAATTTCTTTGATTAAGTGTTCTATTTCAGTGACCGTATAGCTCATTTAAAAACATGAACTAAACTGAGCCTTTTTAAAAAGTAACTATTATTATTAGGTGTTGTTGAGTACAACTAATACTGATCCTATAAAAAATTGATCTGAGCCCTATCGTATGCTGTGCCAATCTCACAATCTCTGGCATATTCAAGCCCATTGCTGTAGTCCCTGTGTCGGTCCACTTGGTTGGGGAATCTTCTTTCCAAGAATGATGTCCTTCTCCAAGGAATAGCTTCTAGCAACAAACACAAAGTATGTGAGATGAAGTCTTACCATCCTTGCTTCCAAGAAGCAATCTGGTTTCACCTTCTCTGAGACATAACTGTTTGTTCTCTCGGCAGTCCATGGGATAATCAGTACTCTCCACCACCACCACAATTCAAAGGCATCAATTTTTCTTCTGTCATTCTAATTCATTGTCCAACTCTCAGATGCATAATAGATGATTGAAAACACCATGTCTGAATCAGGAGCACTATGGTCCTCAAACTAATATCATCGCTCTCAGAGAGGTTCCAGTCTGCAGACCTTCCTAGTGCAATACATCTCCTAATCTGACTGCTGGTGCCAGGTGTATTGATTGTGGACCCAAATAAGATGAATTCATTGACAGTTCCAATCTTTTCTCCATTTCTCTTGATGTTGCCTGTTGGTCCAATGGTGAGAATTTTCGTTTACTGAAGTTGAGATGCAATCCACACTGAAGGCTGCAGTGTTTGATCTTCTGCAGCAAGTGTTTCAAGTCCCCTTCACTTTCAACAAACAAGGTTGTGTTGTTTGCATACCAAAGGTTATTGATGAGTCTTCCTCCAATCCTGATGTCACATTCCTTTCCACAGAGTCCGGCCTCTAGAATAATTTGCTCAGCATTATATTTAATTTATTGGTTTGAAATTGTTTTCATGATGAAGGGAGAAAATCACCCTTTTAACAGTTTCAATCAACTGTCTAGCATGAAAGATGAAAATAAATTATCTATGATGAATTCTTTCCTAGTTGCTCTTACACCCTTTTCTGGAATGAGGAAAAGCCTGAGCCACCCTTCAGGCATGAGGGGTTAAAGGGAGGCAGGCAAGCATGTGCAAATGCTCTATTGTCAAGAGCGGATGATGACAGTCTGAGTGGATCTCTAAAACCTGAAACTACCTAGCTTCTGTCATCCGAAAAGCTTCGTGATGGAGATCATGAGTTCATCATTAACAGGATGAGATGAGTTTGTGAAACAGTCCAGCTCATAATCCTTACCAAAAAAAACATGAGGGTTAAAAAAAAAAATAGGGAATTGGAATCACGTCAACTACAGATTTGTGCTAATGAACCAGGTTTATTTCACTAGCAAAGCTTCAGTGATGATCTTTATGGGTATGGAAACATGATGATTCATTATGTAATAGTCACTGATAACACAGTGTACAAGACTAATTGTTTGAATATAATGTATGACTGTAGTATGTTGGCATGAGTTTGGGATGTAACTATATGCTTAACAGAATGTTTGCAGGAATTGACGTAGAGTGAGTGTAACATTGAGCTTTTCAAACAAGTTCCTCCAAACCGAGGACATTTAAACCAAAGAAAATGAAGTAGTTTCTCCTTTGTGGTCAGACTTCCCAGGCTCAAGTTGGTAATTGAAGAGGTGCAGAAGGATGAGTCAGAATGCCAGATTTGCTTTCTGAAGAGCTGAAAGCACACCACTTTTGTATCTTAACTCTCCCAGGTAAAGTGCTGCAATCATTCATCTAGTGTAAGCACACTTCACAACAAAATGGAAATGATCTTATTCGTTTTTTCTCTTAGACTCGGCTTGGGAGTAGGGGCAAAGAAGAGAAGATAACCTTAGTTGCGGATAGTTCAGGTGTCTAATTCAGCAGATACATTAAGAGACACTCATATTTATTATGTTGAGTGAACTAACTCAGTCCCACAAGGATACAAATTATATAAAATTGTTATTTTAGAATGAGTATAAGGATCCAGGAGGGGTGGGAGAGGCTGGAAGCAGAGGGATGTGGATGGGGGGGGGGATTAATCATTGGAGTGTACAATTTGATGGGGGGGTGAGGGAAATTGAAAGAATTTGTTCGAATTTGTATTAGAATTTTGTAAATTAGTGAAAAAAAGTCAACTTGGAGAAGAGGAAGGGAGGGAGAGGGGGTAAAAGGTACAACAAAGAATGAAAATCTAACTTTTCTGTAAACTTTTGTTAAAATGACAATTAAAATTGAAAAAAAATTCTATAAAGAGCCTCGAACTTGCTTAACTGAGACCAAGGAGGTACCTCTGGTTGGCCTAAAGTAGTTAAGGAATTGCTCTGCCAACCCATAGGTAGGTGGTTTCAAATTCACCAGCTGCTCTCGGGGAGAAGAACAGGCAATCTCCTCTCCAGCTGTATTGCCTCTGAAAACCCGCTGGCGCATCAGTTACGAGTTAGTTCTAACTGGATGACAGTGACTTTGTTAAATCAGCCAAAGGCAAGGTATTAATTTGCCAGTCTAACTTGCTCTTGCCCTTTAAAAATACTGATCATTAATGGATTGTTCTTAAGTAAGGGTGTGCTGACTGTATCATTTTCACATAACTCACAAAATGACTATTACATAGTGAGTTGTGGAGCGGGAAAGGGAGGGAGAGGAAAAATGTGTATTAACGAAGGAAAACCCAACCTTTCTGTAAATTTTCGTTAAAAATCACAAGAAAAATATATATCACTATCTCCAAGAAAGTTATGCCACAGATCTAAGGACTGGATAAATTGCACTTGGCTGTCCAGCGGGGTGTGTCCAATACTCCCCCAGGAGCGGCCCTGCACACGGTGTGCCTGACAATGCAGTTCTCCCAAGGCCAGCCTGGTCTGTAAGGGGCCTGTAACCGAGGAGCCCAGATCAGGATGTGTGAGGAGCCCCCTGGCCCCGCGATCTGGGCCCCAGTCTGTACAGTCAGGGCTCCCGCGGGGCAGGGCCGGCTTTAATCCTTCCAGGCGTGCACAGGGCGGAGGAGGTGACACGGGGAATATAGGTGGCGTCCACTGGTGAAAAACATCTGAGCGCAGTCGGCCAGGGTGACGAGGGCGACAGGGAGTTCCCACCTGCTGCTTTCTCGAGAAATACAGACTTAAGACAATTCCAAGGAGGGGCCTCTTGGAGCCTTTCCGACGCGTCCCGAGCCCCACCCTCGGCCAGAGGAAAAGCCCCTGGAGAGAGGCGGCCGGCGTCACAGCGAGCCGGGAGGCAGGCCCCTGTCCGCGCTCCTGCTCGCTCCTCCGTTGCCCAGCGCGCCGCCCCGAGCCCGCCGAGCCCTCCCCATGGCGGCGGCCGGACCCCGGGGCACTCCGCGCAGGGCCCTGTGCCCGCAGCTCCTGGTGACTCTCGCGGTGAGTGGCAGGGGCGGCCTCGGCTCCTGGGGAGAGGGGCAAGGGTGAAGGGTTACTCGGGGGTGACGGGGACCCCGGGGGTGTGGGGGAGGGCCGGCGGAAGCGGGCCGGCGGGCGCGCTTGGCGAGGGCAGAAGGAGATGTAATCGCCGCGCGCGGGCGGGCGCGCAGACGCCCTTCCAGAACCGTGGCCTCTGGGTACGCGGCTTCCCACGGCTTGTTCCTAGGCGCCTCCTGCAAATTCCTGGAGAGTTCGCAGCCCTGTTTGGTTCTCCATTTCTAGTTCAGGCCACGAGAAGGGGAGCCACTGGGGGTCAGGGCGGCGGAAGTGCGAATCCTGGGTCGAAAGTACTACAAGCCTTTTGGGATTGCATTTGGCAAGGAATGGAGAGAGGTTTGGGGTGGTTTGGCTTCTGTGCTGCGGGCTGGTAGGTGAACGCGCCCTTGGTGACCTTTGTAGTGTTTGCTTTCTTTGTCAGCGTTTGTTTGAGGTTTCCAAGTCCTAAATCACTGGGGGAAATCAGAGACAGGATCATTTGTCCTACACTAGTCCTCTCCCCTCTGGTTTTAAACTACCCTTGCCACTACCCTCCTCCCCAGCTTCTGGCACTTTAAAGAACACAGCAGCAGGGACTCTATCAGGCTAGCTCCTTTTCAGAGCTGGGATCAAAGGCGAAATACACCCTCCTGGTTTCTGAGAAGGATGGATCCCCCAGATAGGAAGTAGCCCCTAAGAGAGTTTAGCATTAGAGGTGCCTTCTGTGGGCTTTGTGGGTTTTCTGGAAAAAAAATTAAAACAGGTCAGATGTTAAAGTCTGTTTAACTCGATAATACCTTTTGACACTGAACTTTGGGCATTGAGGCACAAGTTAATCTTGAATGGCAATGAGAAAGAACACAGGAGATTGGAGAACTTGTGCCCAGAGAATGCACTGCTCAAGCAGCAGCGGAAGACAAGGGTGTCATTGGAAGGAACTGGTAACTAAGCAGAGAGAACCTGCAGTTGGGCAGCCCAGAGGGAAGTGGAAAGGGCGAAGGGGAACTAGTCAAATAATTTCCCTTTCTCCACCACTTTCATATTGCAGTCAACTATTTAAGAAGTACAATAATAAAATTGTGGTTGTTGCTGTTACGTTGGCGTGTGTTTCCTGGGGATTTAGTAGACTTGAAACCATCAATTAAGTTACCAGCAATATAGAAAGTTCCAGTTAGTACAAATGAGTATTTTACTGCTGAGGAAACAGAGAATGGAATGAATAATAGCCACTACATTCTGTTGGTAGCAAAGGAACGAATTGTTGGTACTTAAGTGAATTTACCACTTCTTTAAAAATCATGGGAAGTTCTGATGGCTTGGTCTAGAACAGGTTCCACTGATATATACCATCTTGTGATATAACCATCACGCATAGCAAACCATCGCAGCTGTCTTCCAGTCAGTTCATGGCAACCTCTGGGATGTCAGAATAGAGCTGTGTTCTGTGGTTTTCAGTGCCTGATTTTTCACAACTAGATCACCAGGCCTTTTTTTCTGAGGTACCTCTGGTAGACTGAAATGTCCAGCCTTAAGTTAACAGCTGAGTGCCTTAACCTGTTGCACCAGCTGGAAACTCCACTCTCTAAATATTTACACCCAAAATTCACAGTGTGTAACAATCTGAGAACACCTCTAGAAGGTGGCCCGGCTTAAGGGAATAAACCGAAATTGAGTAACCTCTGTTCTTTGGTCTTCCTTAGCTGCATAGCTTGATAGACGAGGAGTGAGAGAGCATGAAAAAGAAAGCCAGCCCTGGCGATTCCCCTCCTTCTGTTTTCAGGTTGAAGGCCTGGCATGAGTACTCCTTGTTCTTCTTTTATACACACCTGTGCAAAGTCCTTAGATGATTGTTGTGCTTGTGAGTCTCAGGTGTGATAAATGCCTGGAGACTATTTTAGTGTAAAATATTATTAAGTGGGATAAAAAAAAATGCCTTTTGGAGGACCATAAATAACAATAACAAAATGAAACAAAACCCCCACCACCATTTACATTTCCTCTTCCATTTGCCTAAGTAATCCTTCACCATTCTACAAATCAGTTTCTCCACACTTCCTAGTATTGCCTCAGCTCACAAATGACTTAACTACCGCGGCTGCTCCCTAAAGTCATAAAGGAAATCCATTACTAAATCCAAATAGCACTCAGGCCCGATAGAATTGTTACAGACTGCGCCTTTGGTTTGGAAATTCTCTCCTGACGTTGGATTTTGACTGTTCAGACTTAGACTTCAACAGCTTGTTTTCCATCCTTCTCAAATATTGTTTTTTTCCTGGGACCCACTTTTAGGCTCTATCCTTTGAAATTTACTCCCACCCTTGAAGAGATATCATTTAGTTTTTATGGCTTAAAAAGCACATCCAAAACTGGTATTATTTGTCCAGATGTCTGCACTGAGCAATTGGCCTTTGTATCTATCTGCCTGCTGTAATGTGTCACACAGTGTTTAGCATCTTTGCAAACACGGTTGCTTTTCGTTTAGCGTCCTTTATGTCATCACAGGTTCATACTTTGTTTCATGAAATTCTTCTGTGTCACCAGTTCCTTCTTGTACAGTAACTCTATACTCCATCCAGTATATGGCACCGCCTGGGGGCTATTTATTATTTCTTCCTCCTTGCTCATCCACACCCCCTAATCAATCTCAATACGATGTCAGATACATCTGCTTACTTCTGTTTCTCACCTCTGCTAACACTTTTTTTATTGCAGATAATGTCATAGTGAATAAAAATGGGTTGAATGAAGTCATTCCCCATATGAGCTGGGGTAGTAATAGGATCAAATGTCAAAAGTAAGATTACCAGGAGAAAATATAATATGCATCTATAATTTTTTTAAGGTATTCTTAGCACCTCCTCCAAAGGCAGTAACTTTATACTCCTAACCACAATATATGAATCTGGTTCTCTGCATTTTTTTGCCAACAAAGTATGGTGTTACATTTCTAATTGTTTGCCAATGAGAGATGACATTTCACCTGTAGTTTTAAATCCACTTTTTCTTGTTATGGGTGAGGTGGACATAATTTCTATATGTTTAAGGGCCATTTTATTACTTTTTATGTGAATCATTCATACTTTTTCATATGAATTTTTCATGTCCATTTAGTTCCAGGGTCTTCTTGATTTAAAAGAGATCTTTAAAAATTAGAGATTCACCTTTAAAATGCTGTTTTGTGAGGAAACCAGCATAAAATAAAAATGTAATTTTAAGTACCCTTTTTTCAGTTCTCTTTTAAGTTTACATTTTGTTCTGTCTTCTAAGTGGCTCTTTTTCCATCATCCTAATTGAGTTTCTCAGTTTTAACAGGCTTATGAAATGTGATTTATCCTTAGACTTGCTTGACTTCAAACTTATCTAGAAATTATCTGTTTTCTTCTCTCATCATATTTTAAATTTATTTCTCTGATCACTTTGAGATTTTTCTGTTGTGTTCTGATTGATATAGGGGTTCTACCTTATCTTTTATGCCAATGACGGTCTAGGTCAAGTCCTACCAGTGCTGTAGCTAGAACTCAATGATGTGAGGTACTGTCTATGTCTGTCACGGAAGAGTTCCATGTGGTTGTGGTGGCTGATGAGGTGATTATAACTCCTGGCCTCGCCCCAGGACAGAGCAGAACAGTCTTCTAGGCTGTAATCCCCACCGTGGCAGATTGCCTAGTCAGCTGCTGAGTGCTTTAATGATTCTACCACCCGAGCTGCTGATGGTTTGTAACCCATCATGTCTGTAACCCACGGAGCCCCATTGGTGCAGTGGTCAAAGCATCCTGCTGCTAACCAGAAGATATGACAGTTATCTTTTATTTAGTCCCTGGGCCTTAAAATTGATTCAGTGACCTCAGCTTTGGTATTTTTGGTATTGATAACCCTTGTTCTTGTTGTGTACCATTGATTTGGAACCGACCCAGAGCTGACCCTCCAGTAGATTTTTAGAAGAAGTTAATGGCATGGGAGGCAATTGCCCATCCTTCTCCTTTGGAGCAGCTGGTAAATTTGAACTGCCTGCCTTCTGGACTGCAGTGCACTTTCTTACCATTAGGCCACCAGAGCATCCACATTTATATTTGCATTTGTATTCCTAACCATAGCACACTGTTGTTACTATTTTCTCAGAATACTTTAAAATGCTGGGATTTTGTTGCTGTTTATTTTCATAGTTTTTCTATTTTTCATTGTTCCTATTTCCGTATTATCTTTTGAATCCATTTATATGGTTCCGAGGGATAATGTAGGGGTTTTGGTTTTTCTTTAGGATCATATAATATTAATAATAACTTAGTGGAAATTTATATTCTTCTGTTTTTTAATTTTCCTATTTAAGATCATAGTATATCTGTTTCTATTCCAGTCTTATTTTTGTTCTTTAGAAATATTTTTAGATTTTCTTCAAATGAGATTTGCATGGTTCTCTTGTTACATTGGCACTGTAACCTTTTATTGTTTTTGGAAAAGATTTCTCCTCTTTTACTACAGTGCCTAACTAGTTTTACTATGTACATGAAGACTAATAGTTTCTATATCCTAACAGTTATTCTTTTAACTTCACTGAATTTTATTATCATTATCCTGCAATTTTTCAGTTATTTTGTTTGGATCTTGCAGGTATACAGTCATATCAAATGCAAATAGAGATTATTTTACTTCTTTTTGAAATTCATGCACTCGTATTACTTTTCTATTGCCTGATAGACCTTCAGTGTGATGTTAACAGTAAGTGGTGGCATTTGAGAGCCTATCTTGTTTCAGTGTTTAGTGAGCTGCCTTTCATGTATTGTCAGTGTGGTTATGATTGTTGTCTTGAAAGTTAAATTAAGGAAGTATTTGCTGACCCTTGCATTTTACTTTTTGTGGGCTGGTTGTTGCTTTTATTTTTGAGTTTTTGTTATCGTTTCTTTATCTTGTAAGGATGAATTTAATTCCGTTGAATGCCTTCCAGCATTTGTGGCAATGTGTATGTAGTAGGCCCTATTTAAACTTCTTAAAAGCTTGAGATTTTTGGACCAAGTAGGTGATGTGAACTGTGAATTTCTGTGCAAATGCTGAATTTATTTCTGACTCAGCCTTACAGCCTTTTAGTGTTTGGGACCCCAGGTGAAGGTGGGGGAGTTTTTCCTTTAGATCTTGGTAGGTCCCGTGCTCCTGTATTACTCCTTTATTCAGGATAGAAATTGTGTCTAGGAGGCCTCATTACCACTCTGTGTTCCAGCTTCGTCTCCATTTATTGCCCAAAATCTTGCTATTTTGTCATTTTTTTAATGCCTTAGGGTATTTTTTAAAAGAAAAAAATTAGCCATCATTTTCGTTAGTGTCAGAATCGAGGTCTGTCTGGATGACATGTGTTATTATGTGTCTTTGAGTCAGAGCCGACTCATAGCAGACCCTACAGTGGGCTTGCAGAGACTGTAAGCTATATAGGAGGAGATTGCTCACCCTTCTCCCACAGAGCAGCTGATGTCTTCAAACCACATGCCTGTGGGTTGACAGCATAACACCTTATATTACAAGAGCCTCCTGTTTTTGAAAATGAAAAATTTGTATGCTTCCTACACATTCTTCACACTAATTAGAGTAACTTTACTCAAATGAAAACCTACTTAGGTATGTTTTCTACTTAAAGCAGGTCTTTGACTTTATTTTTTTAACCTGTATTATTCCTGCTCAAGATAAACTCCACCTCTGATTCCCTGGATCCAATGTAAACCAATGGCCAACCCATCCTGTGTTTTCCGTCAGAAGTTTCACACATTCTGTTCCCGTCTCTGTAACGCTGGGGTTCTGCTTGATGTGGCTGACCATTAGTTTCCCTTGAGGTGACTCCCCTGGCTTCTAGACTGGGTCTGCACATTAGCCCTGCCTGCTTTGCTCTCCTTAACACCACACACTTTTTTTTATCATATTGAAGTTACAAATACGCATTCTCCAAGCACTGACTGTTCCATGAGGATGTGGTGTATTATTTTGTGCCTGCTACATTGCAAGGAGTGGTATCCACTTCCACAATAGCTTGCCTCTGGAAACCCTATGAACCTGAATAAAGGACAAAAGTTATACAGGATGTGTCCAGGACTTTTGTTCATAGGGTCGCTTTGAGTCACCTGCAACTCGATGGCACTTAACAACAACAACACATTGCAACCACTCAGTAGGTATTTTAGATAGTAACAAACAGGTTCGTCCTGAAGAGGGTGAAACCAGGTTGCTCCTGGGAGGCAAGGATTCTGAAGCTCCATCTGATATACTTTGGACATGTTACAAGGAGGGACCAGTTCTTGGAGAGGGACGTCATGCTTGGGAGGGTGGGGGGACAGCACAGGAGAGGAAGACCTTCAATGAGATGGATTGATTCAGTGACTAGGTAATAGGGGTAGGTGTGTGAGAGACAATAAGGTTGGCTCAGGATAGAGCAGGGTTCAGAACTGTTATACGTAGGGTCACTGTGAATTAGGCGACTTGACAGCACATAAAACAACAACAACATGCATGAATAAATGTCCATGATTTGCCTCCTCTTTTCATTCACGTTCTGAATATTTTCCCCATTATTACCTTCTTTTTTCCTGCTTTGGAGTCGTGATGGCCTAGAAAGTACGGAGTTGTACTGCTAACTTAAAAGCCGGTTGTCTGAATCCACCAGCTTTCTCTTCTGGAGAAAGATGGGTAACCTCTTCCTGTGTGAGTTACAGTCTCTGAAAACCCAAGGGACGGCCAGCTATGAGTGGTTCCAACTTAACTGGCAGTGAATGGAGTTCTTCCTGATTGATTAATCTCAAAGTATTTAGCTCTGTGTTTTTTGACAGTAGGTGACATTTGTGTGTTTGTTTATTCTCCTTTCCTCCTTCTATTTTAATCTTGGTAAGGGCTAAGGATTTGCTTTGTTTTTTGTTATACCTTGATCATGGCTATACCAGGCAAGCAACCAGTTAAGTACGTTCTTGCTCACATTAAGAAGATGAATTCATTCAGTGCCTGTAATTCGAACCTTCAGTTCTCACTCAGTTATGCCATCAGTGAAAACCCTACTTGTCTTTCAATATCAGATTCCATACAATTTTTCAGTGTGTGCATTAGTAGTTTGCAAATGAGACACTATCTCCCCCATCCTTCATATATGAGTTAAATGAAAATGTTTTACTATGGTCCTTGAAATAAGAATTTCATCTAAATTTTTGTTATTTTTATTTCTATTTAGAGAGCATGTAAAAAAAAGAATACAAAGACTGCAGTTGGCCATCTTCTTTTCAGTCAGAAATCTTTGCAAAGCTTTAGGGAAAAAATAGAAGTCATTCAGGAGCATCCATTGCAATGGTTTAGCAACAGCGTAAATAAATTTCAGAATGTTCAGTTGTTGTTATGGGCTGTCAAGTGAGAACTGACTTGTGGCTGACCCTCAGTCGGGTTTTCAGAAGCTGTAACTCAAATGAGAAGAGATTGCTAACCTTGTTTCTCTTGTAGCAGTTGATGAATTTGAACCTCCTGCCTTTAGATTTCCAGTGAAATTCCTTACCACTAGACCACTAGAGCTTGCTCTCTTGGAATTGGTTCACTGTAAACCACAAACCAACCCAGTGGCCCTTGAGTTTATTCCAAGTCGTATCAATCCTCCGGGATAGAGTAGAACTGGCCCTTATGATGTGCAGGGCTGTGATGCTTACTGAAGCGGGCTGCACAGAATGACTGAGGGTTCAAAACTCTGACCTTTTGCCTAGCAGAAAAGCACTTTAAACACTGTACCATCAAAGCTCCTTAAACATGGCTAAATAGTTTTTAAAATCTTCAGTTAATTCTTTTCTAAAATGACGAACTCAGTTATAGGAAGGCAGCTTTGACGGCTTAGTGGTAAGGAATTATATTGCCTCCCCAAAGCTTAAGTGGTTTCTGTCCATCAACTGCTCCTTGGGAGAAAGATCCTCCCATGTGATTGACTGCCTCTGAAAACTCGCTGGAGTGTCAGCTGTGAGTGGATTCAGAGGCCACAGTGCTCAACAACAATGTTTATGAGAAATTGCACAATTAAGTTTCTGCATCAGGATTATACGCTTGCTTGAGTGAGATAAAAATATACATACTTTCCAGACTACTTCATTGTGATCAAATAATGGAGTTTTTGAAAAGCATTGGTTTTTATTTAGGGTATTATTAAGTTTATGAAATAGTTCATTGTTGTATCAATTCAAAATCATTGGAACAATTTTACTTGATCATTGAGCTTGCTTTTCTGGCCTGTTTACATACTTCCACTGTTCTCCTAGTGAATTTCAACACCCTTTCTTTTACATTGTTATTTGATCCTCACTGTATCCAATGAAAGAGCCTTAGTGGTATAGTGCTTGCTATGTATGGGGCTACTAACTGAAAGATTAGCTTTTACCTGCTGGTCCACAAGGGAAAGCTGGACAGTCCCTTCTCTCTGGTGAAGTTCTTTAGCCTCAGAAACCCAGTGGAGGATCTTTATGAGTCAGGATCAGTTCTACAGCAGTGATATATTGTGTGTGAGAGGGAGTATTGCATAAAGAGTGCAGTGAATTAAGCGCTATTGGTGCAGTGGATTGTTTTGCAGTTAACGAAAAGGTCAGGAGTTCGAATCTATCTGCCAGCTGAGGTGATGGTGAAGCAGTCTCCTTTTATGAAGATTTACAGCCTGGGAAAACCCTAGGGGACAGTTGAACTCTATCCCACAGAGTTGCTCTGAGTTGTAATCAGGTCTGGGGTTTAGGTTCCCAGTAAGTTAGAGGTTGATGTTATTATTAACTCCCTTTTACTTTTCTGAGCTTTGGTGATTATGGAAGAAGAAGTTTATTATTTTCTTTCCTCCTCCCTCCAAAAAGACATTCTAAGTGTTGTATTCCACTGTGTATTTGTTCTAGGAAGGTCTGGTGGCCATTGAGTAAGGACTTGAACTCAAATGAAAATGATTTGAATATACCAGCAGCTCCACAGGAGAAAAATGAGCAGTTTCCTCCAGTGTAATTTGCAGCCTTGGAAAAACCAGCAATGAGTTAATTCCAGTTTGATAACAAGGGGAGAGAGAGAGAGAGAGAGAGAATAAATGAGAATGTCAGCAATGTAAATTGCATAAACTCATAGGTATACAAAAGGTCATTTATATATTGTTGCTATTGTGAAGTGCCTTTGAGTCCTAGATGAGTCATGGAGACCCTATGAACAAAAGACCTGACACTTATATAACTTTCCAACGTTTCTCCAAGTTCACAGAATTTCTGTAGGCAAGCTATTTTGGAAGTAGATGTCACTCTTGTTTCCAAGCTTGTTTTAATTGGGGAGCTCCACTGAACACTGTCTACCATGGGTAACCATTATTGCTTTTGACATATCAATGTCACAGTATTTTGCATCACAGCAATCACTAGTTTGCACAGCAAATGACAGACCAGTGCTATATCACTTAGAAGAATGGTTGACCAAACATTTTATATACATTTTGTATTTTGGTTTTTTTGGTTTTGTTTTTTTAGATCTTGACATTGGTCTGTGATGCCTGCAAAAATGTTACACTTCATATTCCTTCCACACTGGATGCTGGAAAATTTATTGGTAGAGGTAAGAAATTTCCAAAGATGAGTAATAATAAGCTTTAGTTAATTTGGTATAACCATTTTAAAGTTGGTGTCATTTTTGTGAGAGAAATGCAATGGGTCCAGAAATTAAAATAAATATTTCACATTGTAATTTTTCATGCATGTTTCATTTTGTTGAGAGGAATTTTATTCTTCATTGAAAGCACTATATGAAGTAGATAAAATTTAGCTTGATTAATAAAATAACTACTCAAGTATTAATGAAATAGAAATTATAAAATGTTACTATACGTCAGATGAGTGACATAGTATATAGTACAAAATGCTTTTATGAGATTGGGAAAGAGTGTTGAAGCTGTTGGGTTGTGTAGTCCCCAGAAGTTGTGCTGCTAACCCTGAGGTGGTACCTCATTGGCAGTTCGAATCCACCAACTGCTCAGCAGGAGAAGGATGGATGATCCCTTCCTGGGTGATTTACAGCCTCTGAAGCCTACTGGAGGCTCAGCTTTCAGCTATGAGTCAGTTTCCATTCAGCAACAATGAGATGAGATTTTTAATCTTTATTTTAAAAGATATCACTTTCCATTCAACAGCAATGAGATGAGAGTTTTAATCTTTATTTTAAAATCTATTGACATCTGGCAGACTTTTATAAAAAAATACATCATTCTCCAAAAACTGCTGTTTTAACATACCTATCTGAGAAAACATAGAAGAAATGGGAAAATAGTGACAGACAACAGATTCAAGAACTCCATTTTTATGTGTTGTTCTATAGCTAATTTTCTTTCATAAAGTATGCCTTTTTTCCAATGTCATAGCTTCAGACACTACGGTTTTGATGCCTTTTTCTCAGAACAAATGTCTCTTTCTTAAAAGAATGCTGAGTAGGATTCGGAGTGATGTCTGTATTCAAGTACAGCTTCATTAGCTGTGTCGTCTAAAAATGCAAAATTTGCAGAACTCCGTTAAAATGCGTTTTTACGTTCTTGGCTCTTCCCCAAATGAATTGACTCTGGAAATGACCCCTGAGAAACTATGTATTTTTATGGTTTGTCTTATAAATGATTGCTGTGTATATTTTTCTACAGTGGACTTGAAGGGGTGCTTGAAATCTGCAACTCAGATTCAGTCAAGTGATCCTGATTTTCAAGTTTTTGAAGATGGCTCAATATATGCTACACATGCTATACTTCTATCCAAGGAGAAGAGAACTTTTACCATATTACTTTCCAGCATGGAGAACCAAGAGACGAAAATAGCTGTATTTTTAGAGCATCAAACAAAGGTATACTAAATTATAAATGAAGTATCTTCATATATTTTCTTCAAGTAGAACTAATACTGCAAAGGAAAATGTGAAACGAGAAAAGGTGCCATGGTCTTTGCAATCACTTACTATGCATCAAAAAGCTGGACAGTGACTAGGGATGATAGAAGGAGAATTGATGCCTTTGAGCTGTGGTGCTGGAGAAGAGTATTGAATGTACCATGGACTGCTAAGAGAACAAACAGGTTTGTCTTGGAGAGGGTGAAGAAGCCAGGCTACTCCTTTGGAGGCAACGATTTTGAAGCTTCGTCTGACATACTTTGGACATGTTGCAAGGAGGGACCAGTCTGTGGAGAAAGACATCATGCTTGGGAGGGCGGAGGAACAGTGCAGGAGGGGAAGACCCTCTGAGATGGATTGATTCAGTGACTGGAGTAATGGGGGTGCGTGTGTCAGAGACAGTGAGATTGGCACAGGACAGAGCAGGGTTTAGGGTTGTTGTACATGGGGTCGCTACAAGTTGCAGGCAACTCGAGGGCACACAACAACAACATGACAACAAAGGATAATTTAACTTGAAAAAGAATGAAACTGTGAGGCAGTTTAACCATTGAAGCAGAAAGGGATTGCACAACATAGATCGTTATTTCTTTTTGTTGAGAATTTCTTTTTTTTTTTAAAAAGGAATTGGCAAAAACTACAACATAAGAATTTAAGAGTTTGTTGTTAGGTGCATCAAATTGACTCATAAAAACCCTACTACGAAAACCAGATTGAAACCTTGCCAATCTGCACCGTCTTCATTATTGTTGCCGTCGATATATCAATCTGTTTTCTTGAGGGTCTTCCTTTCCTTCACTGACCCTCTACTCTTCCATACACGATATCATTTTTCCAAAGACTGGTGCTTCCTAACAACATGCCTCATGTGTGTGAAGTGAAGTTTTACCAATTTTGCCTCCAAGGAAGACCCTGGTTATACTTCCCCCAAAACAGATTGGTTTTTTTTTTGTTTTGCCAGTCCATGTAACAATTGATACTCTTTGCCCCTGCCACAGTTCGTTCAAAGGCATCAGTTCTTCTTCTGTCTTCCTTAATAATTTTTCTTCTTTATTAAGAATACAAAAATAAAAAAAATAATACAAAAATAAAAGTGGAAGAACATTTGGCATAAACTCTACAGCATGAGAAATTAAGCCTAGGCACTTTATGTTTACTGTAGAATGCATGTCTAATAACCAGTTCTGAAAGTTTTAACCTCTAGATTTTTAATCTATTTTGGCACAATGTTTAGACTTAGAAATAGATGAATATTTTAAATTGAGGCTTGGCTGTCATGCAGATTAATTGTATCATGACACCCAAGAGCAAAATGATTTCTGTTTGGTGGTTGACCACTACTTACTGCAGACTTTTGAAAGTTGTCACCTTATTTCTTTCTTCTGACATAGACCTTTGTTGATTCCCTGGCTCTGCCTAGTTGCTGGTGAGTGGAATATACTTGTGCTAAATTTAGAAAAACACATGCTGTGCTTATTATCATTGCATCTCTCTGCTCCCCTGTTGCTGCATGGCAAGATGGAGACACTTTATTGTTATTACTTAGTTTCTCTTTCAAGTTTCCAGTTCCATTGCCCTGTTTTCCATATCACACCATCAAATTATTTTCTCAAAAAGATTTTTTTATTATCTTTTTGGCAGTGTGAATGTTTAATTTCGTTTCCCAGTGCTGTTATTGCTGTGTATGTCCCCAGCTAAATTTCACAAAAAAAGAGAAAGCAATATCAGCGTGTTGATGTCTAAGAGCAAAATAATATTGACTACCCCCTTTGTTTTCTAAATAAAGGATCTAAAGAAAGGACATTCTAAAGAAAAAATTCTCAGACGTGGCAAGAGAAGATGGGCTCCCATTCCTTATTCGATGCAAGAGAATTCTTTGGGTCCTTTCCCACTTTTCCTTCAACAAGTACGTTTTATTGCTTTTTTGTTTTGAGAATCTTTCTTTTTAAAAATATTAGTGGTGATTAATTTTGTAAAACAACGGAATGATCATATGATACACTATGTGAATGAAGGCATATGTGAAATGCTGTGTATATGAATTAAACACAATGTATGCAAATTTCCTATGCAAATCAATATAAAATAAAAAAGGAAAACCCTTTTTTTTACAATGAACATGCAATTATTTTTTAAAAAGTAGTTGTATACGGCCACAAGAATGAGTATGCCGTGATATGTTTCAACATCTGCGACAGTATATGTATTTGTATTTGCATACATGTTTTAATGAAATTTTAATTATGTCAGCATAATTTATAAAACTGAGCTCTATTTCTAGGGTTCAATACATGGTTGCCTAATGAAGAGTGGCAATTGCTAAAAAAAGTCAAACGCTATAAAGGAAAAAAGATGTACAATTATATATTGCTTGTTTTCAGGTCTCCATCTCAAGTCATACTGGATCACCTTTTTCCTATCCCTTTTTAAAAAAAATACTTTCAGTAGAAACTTTAACAAATCTTGTCTTCCTGCACTGCCAGTGGTTGTTACCATTCATTTTATGAATTTGAGTAACTTTCTTCCTAAAATAGTAAGAGAAAATCATCCTTTGTGTCTCACCAAAAGATTGAATGAATATGAATGTATTAAAGTGGAAAAAGCATTATGCTAGTCATACTGAACAGAGATAGTAACTAATTTACAGAGAGCATGAAAAAAGCCTGGAAAAATATTGCTTTTGGCATTAAAGACCAGACTATCACACTTACAAGGATATTACTGCCCTTTCTATGTGCACAGATACATTTTTTTTCCTGTTTAAGTCCTGTTATAAGGAAGACACTGAGAAATAATGGAAACTAGTTGAAAGAAGCATTTTCTAAGGTTATGCCTGATAATCACTGTAATTTAAATTAATACTTCAAATAGCATGGTATATATATTAAAAGTTCAGTTCTTTTACAAACTGAAATTTTGGAAAGCATTTTAATGTTCAGAATATTTTATTTTATAATGCAAGAAAATGTTTCCACCTAAAAGTATTTGGTGCATTTAATTATAATTTTTCTTTTAGCATAGTCTTTATTTGTTCTTGAAACCAAGATACTACTAGATTATTTTCTTTATGTTTGCTTCTCTCTGTATCTCGGTTCTGCACCATCAGTATTTTATTAATTTTTCATAGTAATAAAGATAAAATATTTTCCCTAAATTGTTTTCTGGAATCACAAGCAGCAATACAATTGGAATAAATGTATAAAAAATGAGAGTTCTGATGAGATATAAATTGATTCTTTCTGATATATCTGTTTTCTAGATCCAGTCTGACGCAGCACAGAACTACACTATATACTACTCCATAAAAGGGCCTGGAGTTGACCGAGAACCTAAAAATTTATTTTATGTTGATCGAGACACTGGAAACCTGTTTTGTACTAGAAGTGTAGACCGTGAGCAGTATGGATCTTTTGAGGTAAAGTCTAACATCTGTATAATGTACTAGTAATCTTTCCACTCGGCCATTTATGCATTCCTTCTCGGCTCATTGATCGTTTCTTGTTCTCTGAGATTCTCATATTCCCACTGTTGTTGAGTTGACCCCAACCCCTGATGGCCAACTAGGACAGATTAGAGCTGCCCCTTAGAGTTTTCAAAACTGCAAATCTTTCCAGAAACAAATCATCTTATCTGTCTTCTGAGAAAAGGCTGGTGGACTTGAATTCCTAACCTTTGATTAGGAGACCAACACATTTAATCTACCCCCACACCATTCTAATGATTTCTAATAGTGTATCTATTAGCACACACTTAACCTGAGAGAATTTTCATAGAAAAGTCAATGACATTGGATGCAGTGTGTATTTTTTCCTTATACTATGTTAAAATTTGAAATACCATGTAAGAAGTATGGAATAGTACATAAGTAAGTGTGAAAATTTGCCAGAGGGTCAGCTATGGGTTGGTTCTAACTCTACAGTATACAGCAACAACATACCTAATTAACTGACTGTACACATCAACTTTGAATTAAATATTTAGATTTAGAAATGCCACAGTGTGGCCTTCTAAGTACCTATAATAATCTGTTCTTTTCATGGTAGCCATGAGGTAAAAAGAAAGCGGAATTGGTTCTCATATTATAAAATCAAAAGAAATTGTATCCCTGTGTGACTACTGCCATTTATTTATTCTCTCTCTGACTCTTGAAAGGAAAAAAAGAATCTTAGGGAAATTAAATAACTAAAGCCATCAAGATGTTTGAAATCCTAACAGAATAGGAAATATTATCTCAGTTAACTAATTCCAAATATTATCTCAGTTAAAAGAATCCAAAGTTAAAAATGATCCAGTGAGCTGCGGTGAAGATGCAAAGACTTTCAAATACAACAAAACAAAGCAAAAACCTACGCAACTACTTGGAGAAAGTTACAATAGAAACTGTTATATTTCTGATAATAATATGATAATAGTGAGAAACTTGAAAGTGATTGTGGCATTATAAATAAATTGAAACATAAAATGCTATCTTTCATTAAGAATTTCGTTATCCCTATTGTTGTTAAAGCAGTAACAAGTGGTGAGAGCAGCATTGCAGTAGTGGTGGTCTCCAGATCAATAATGTTTTATGTTAACAGATTATTTTCATTCCTTTCACAGCTAGCTGCCTTTGCAACAACCCCAGATGGCTATACTGCAGACTTTCTTCTGCCCCTTGTAATCAAAATTGAGGATGAAAATGACAATTACCCAATTTTTACAGAAACTACTTATGTTTTCACAGTTGCTGAAAACTGTAGAATTGGTAAGCATCTACCATAATAATGTACTTTTCTGTGAGGTTGGCTTCCTAACTTGTTGACCCCATCCACAATGAGGTCAGATTGTTGTGGGTCCATAGACGGACTTTCACAAGTTGGATCCTGCTCTTACTTCCCAGTCCTTCGTAGTTTATAGTCTGTGCTGAAACCTGACTGTTCGGCATCACAGCCATGCAGAAGCCTCCACTGATGGAGAAGTGGAGGCGGCAGTTGAGTTGTCTGGACCATGACTTGAACCCAGGTCTCCTACGTGGAAGAGAAGAAACTTACAAGTGAATCACCACTGCTCAACTTTAACAGAGTTGTTTTTGTTGCTAGTAGCTACTGAGTTACTTCAGACTCTCGGTGATCCCATGTGAACAGTGTAGCACTGCTTGGGAGATTTTTCAAGGCCATCAAATTTTGAAAGAAGACCCCAGGCTTGTCTTCCAAAGTGTTTTCGGATGGTAAATGAGCACGTCATCATTTGCTCACAATATAAAGTACCTTAAATATATTTCAGATCATAAGATGAATTTCACTATGACCAGTGAGAGGTACCGTTACCTGGTGGCAAAAAGTGCTACGTGTTCTTAGTTAGCTGCAATGGGTGAAATTTTATGTAGTCTTTATTAGCTATGGGACCTGGGAAAGTTTCTTAATCCTGCCACCCTTAGTTTTCTCCTCTTTATAAAAAAATGAAACAAAGCATAATACACTCGAGTGCCAAGCTCAGTGACTGAAAAATAGAAGTTATTCAATACACGTTGCTTGGCTTTCCTCTATGGGATAAAATAGATTTACTTTTAAGAGAAAACATTCTAGAAAACAATAAATTGTTGAGCAGTTGAAGATGAAACTGTGAAGCTATCTATTGGTATTCTGTAGTGATTAAATGGTTGACAATATAGGAATATTATCATAAAGAACGTTGAAAATGCAGCAAACATTTTAACCATCATTTAGAAATTATGTACTTTAGCAGAAAGACTGATTTTAAAATACAGTTTCCAGATTTCCTCTAGAAAGATCTAACTGGCCAATGAACAGAAAATGGACTAAAATGATCAATTTAAACACAAGTGTAATTTTTGAAAATTTTCTTTTCTATTTTATTACTCTGTGTGTGTGTGTACCTTCAAATCAGATCTCACTGGTACAGGAAGAGATTGTCCTTCCTACTCCGCACACCTCTGGTAAACACAAGTGTAATTTTAAGACTAAAAATCTACAAAGATTAAGTCCAGGGGAGTGTAAAATGAATATTTATAAAGCTGTTAATTAAATAAGTACTTTAAATGCATGTATGGTCACCAAATCTTAAAATGTTAGAACGTTAGGATACTTAATAATAAATAATGTTTAATTTAGAAGTTTGAGATTTTATATCACCATTGCTCAAATATACAATAAAATAATCCGGTACTATTTTGAGATAAGTGGAGAGAAGTGAAATAAATGGAAAAGTTGAAAATACTGTAAAATGCTTGGAAATGAAAGAGTATGTTTTCAATGTGCAGGCTCCACTGTGGGACAGGTGTGTGCAACAGACAATGATGAACCGGACACCATGCACACGCGCCTGAAATACTCCATCATTGAGCAGAGACCTGCGTTGCCTTCTGTGTTTTCTATGCACCCAAAAACTGGAGTCATCACCCTATTGTCATCTCAGCTAGATAGAGAGGTAACATAGAATTTGATTAGTATTTAAAAATTATAGCACAGTTAATTAATAGTGCTTGGTTATTTGATAGGAGTTTTTGAAAAGTATAGTATGAATCCAATTTGAGAAAAGTTATTTAAAACATATTAGTGAATGAATGTCATTAAATCACTTTCCCTGGTACTACTTCTGTAATATTCATTCTTTTTCTTTCTCTCTTGATTAGACTAGCAGTTGTCAGTCTTATTTATTAACTAAGAATCCCTTTACAATTTTTAGCTTTGGAACCCCTTTTCAAAGTTATTGTACTTCCCAAAGATCTTACATTTATGTACGTAGTACTTGTTCATATGTGTTAGTATTTATGACTAACAAAGGTTTAAAAATATGTATTTAGTAGTTCTTTATACCTTTATAATAATAAAGCACTACATGTTAACATAAGTAACATTTTTTAAAAATAATTATGTATTTTCAAAATAATAATGAGTAGAATAGAATTGTTATATATTTTTAAAAATCTCTTTAATAACTGGATTTATATACAACAACAGGTTTCTCATATCCCCTTCTTCATCAATTTATTATAATGTATAATTTTACCTAAAATATATAAAGAACATCTTTATATGAAAAGCAACAATGTCAGTTGGAGACTAAAGTAGTACCTTATCCATGCCGAAGTCTTCACAATTACTCACTATGCTTCAGAAAGCTGGACAATGACTAGGGATGATAGAAGAAGAATTGATACTTTTGAGTTGTGGTCCTAGAGAAGAATATTGAATATAGACTGTTAGGAAGACAAACAGGTTTGTCCTGGAGATGGTGAAACCAGGATACTCTTTGGAGGCAAGGACTCTGAAACTTTGACTGACATACTTTGGGCACATTACACAGAGACCTGTTCTTAGAGAGAGACATCATGCTTGGGAGCTTGGAGGGACAGCACAGGAGAGGAAGAACTCAGTTAACATAGATCTACACAGTAACAGGGGAAATGGCGGTAGGTGTGTTGGAGTCAGTGAGACTGGCTCATGATAGGGCAGGGTCGAGAGCTATTGTTCAAAGGGTCTCTATGAGTTGCAGGCAACTTGATGACAAATAACAACATCATCTTAAGGAGTAAGTTAGAAAGCATTTTTATCATTGTTTTTTGTACTCCTTTCCTGTCACAGTCACTTCTGATAAATGAAACTATTGAGAGTAGACTAAGATTTTAAAATTTTTAAAAGTGGTGCTAAGCTTTCTGCTGTGAAATTGACTGGGTTCCAAAATTGAAAATTGGTGACTTAAGTTGTTATATGGCAAAAGGAAAACCCTAAAAGCTAGAGTCTATTTTCAATGGAAAGAAAAACAATGGTGTCGCACTAAAACCCCTGTTTCCATACTAATTTTTGTAAATACCTTTGTAAATTTTTTCCATACCTTTTTTGTAAATGTCAAATAAATATGTAAGGTATGTTTTCAATAGTTTTTCCTTCTGGTAGAAATATGTACAGCAAAACCCGTTCTAGGCTTTCTGGACATAGCAGTCATTGACATCGCCTGCATTTTCCGTATTCTGTCGGTAGCTCCTTATTTCCCTTCTTGCCATTTCTCCCCATTGCCATGAATTCCCTGTGCCTCAGCTTTCTGATCTGTGCTTTAGAAAAGCTGTTGCCCATTTGGTTTTAGGGAGATAATTCTTTTCAAACAGCCCAAGGGAGCTCTGGTGGCCTACTGGCAAGAATCTGCACTGTAATCCCAGAAGTATGTGGTTCAAATCCACCAGATTCTCTGCTGGAGAAAGAGTGGCACTCTCCTCCTGTACCAGTCAAATCTGATTTGATGGCACACACATTCAAAGTAATTAAATAAAACAAAAAGCAATTAAAAAAAAAAAGAGCCCAGTACTCAAGGGTCATAATCTTTCATTTTTGAGGTAGTTACTTGGCTTAAAGGTGCCTTCAAGATTTCACTTAATCGTTTTATTACATGACTGGTATAGGAATCATTGTTATGGATTTTTGAACATAGAATGTACTCTGTATAGTTGGTGTTTTGTACTGTAGAGTCAGAACTGACCCACAGTTGACCGTCCCATGGGTTTTCAAAGGCGGTTAATCACAAAGGAGGAGACTGCCCATCTTTCTCCCACAGAACAGCTGGTGGCCTCATACTAAGTGCCTTTGGAATTGATGTTCTGTAGAGGATGTAAGATTTTCATTAATTGCCAGGCAATTTTAAATGTTTTTCATCTTCTCTACTGAATAAAAAGAAAAGTAATTGTTAATACAACATTTAAAATGTGGCAAATGACTATATTTTCATAGATTATTTGAAAATTACTAGTGTAAGGACTAGTTTCTCCTGCCACTATAGGAATTTTATCCACTTTTAATAATTCCTCTTAAATTATAATTCAAGGAAAATGATAGTATGTAAATTAAGGTTTAATTTCTAATGTTAATTGTTTTACTATGATATGTTAACCCAGTTCTTACTTTATTTTCAGTTAATTGATAAATACCACTTGAAAATAAAAGTCCAAGACATGGATGGTCAACCTTTTGGCTTGCAGACAACTTCATCTTGTATCATTAATATTGAAGATGTGAATGACAACTTGCCAACATTTACTCGTAGTTCTGTGAGTATATGACACTAATTAGGGAAAGATCTGTAACCCAGTGCTCATTGCTAAATATGCTCATCTCCTTCCCAGTCCCATGATTTCAAGTGAAGTGTTCCCAGTGATTGACAGCAGTTTAGTCTTAAGGTTTAACGTCAGGCAGACATATGGCTCTAGAAATTAGAAGAAAGTGCCCAAGTTCATGTGTTATTCTAATTTTTGTGAATGTTAATAATACAACTGTTTTGATTGTTTTCATTATTTTAGTATGAGGCATCAGTGGAAGAAAATACAGCTAACGTGGAAATCTTGCGCATTGCTGTTGAAGATAAAGATTTAATTAATACTGCTAATTGGAGAGCTAATTACACGATTTTAAAAGGCAATGAAAATGGAAATTTCAAAATTGTTACCGATCCCAACACCAATGAAGGAATTCTGTGTGTGGTAAAGGTAAGAATAAATTAGTAAATTGATTATCTGTAGTTTATAATTACCATGTATTAACATACCAACATTTAAAGAAGTGAAAGTAATTCTAAGAAGTGTAGAAAAAAAGAAAAATAAAATAAATGTAAATGAAATATTCATAATAATACATTTGCATATATTTTTGAGAAACATTTTTAAAGTATGATTCAAAGAAAACATCTTTATGTTTTCATTAAATAATGATGTAATATCTACTTTGTAACCAGTATCTCTTGACAGTTCAGAAAGTAGCACAGCTTTGATGCCAGTGGGATGGAGTCAAACTTTACTAGCCTGTTCTTGCTCTACCAGAATCAGGGACCTGGCTGCTTGATTACTGAATTTCCAAAAGAGATGTTACTCCTGGTCAGAGGCAAACAAAGCTGTTTGAAGAGCTCTTCATTTTTATCCATTGTATATAATAACATTAGCATCCCAGTTTAGATTGGGTATTTCCAGTTATTTAAAGATGCAAATACTTTAAAAATTCCTTTCTGCTGTTCTACAGTTTCTCAGAGGTGCTGACTGCTAATTCAGGAGCCAGGATTGGACATGAAAGTGATGTGTGCTCCGTTTGCCTTGGAAAGGGCCAAACTTTTATCTCTGCCACGTCTTTGGGTAGAACGTGACTCCATTCTAGACCTATGGAATTTTTCTTTGTTCATATTCTCAAGTCCTGAATCTTTCTTCTCTGCAGTGCTGAAAACTAACAGTAGTTTGTAGATTAGTTTTTGTTTCCAGATGGAAAATATATGTATCCCTTCAACCCTTACACGAATCCTTGATATTTTAAGAAGAAAATTTGTCTTTGTGAGTGAAGCCTAACACCTGATGAAATTTCTGGCTTCCTAAAAATGGATTTGCCCATTGTAATTACATCTGTTCGCTCTGTCTGTCATCCATCCACCCATCCATCCATCCATCCATCTGAAAAATAAAATGCAACCTTCCATCGCACTTGGTACCACCAAGTTTTAGGAAAGTAATGGGAATGCCCAAATCAGCTAACATGTGAAGTCGCCTCAGACTCGCAGTGACCCTGTAGGACGAAGCGGAACTGCCCCAGAGGGTTTCTGCTGCTGGACCCTTCACGGAAGCAGATGCCCATCTTTCTCACATTGAGCAGTTATTTGAGCTGCAGCTCCTTTGATTTTACAGCTGAGCTCTTAACCACTGTGTGATTAGTGCACATGGTCACTGGGAGAAAAATGATAAAAAGGAAAATGTCATCTGCAAGCTTTTCATTTTCATGATCTTGAGTTACTTTTCTACCTCAAATCAGACACAAGTAATATATAGTAATAAATATAATAGAATATGATATGATATCATTGATAATATAATATAATTAATATAACTAATATAACATATATAGCTTGGAAGGAGGAGTGGCATCCACTTCCATAATAGCTTGCCTCCGGAAACCCTATGAACCTGGAGAGAGGATGAAAGGCACCCAAGCGTCGAGGACTCTCCTTCATAGGGTCTCTATGAGTCGCCTGAGACTCGACAGCACTTAACAGCAACAACAACAACTTATATATTTATTTCACAAGGATAGAGCAAACACCAGACATTTCTTGCGGTATATTCTAAGCAGTGGAATAGCTGGGTCATATGGAATTTCTATGTTCAGCTAACTCTTTTACAGAATCTTTATCAGAACTTGCACTACAGCTTTCATTAAATTTCCAATTAAAGAAGTTTTTTCTATTTGTTTTATTTTGTTGCTTGTTCCACCCAAATAAATACTGTGCCAGGTAAAGGATTCCTGTACCCTTCACTCACCTCTGTGTGTGTGTGTATTTATTGTTGTTATGTGCCATCAAGTCACCTGTGACTCATAGTGACCCTATGGACAACAGCCCTAAATCCTTCTCTATCCCTTGCCAATCTTATGGCAGTCTTATCTATCCAACACACCTACCCCCATTACCCTAGTGACTGAATCAATCCATCTCATCAAGGATCTTCCTCTCCTGCCCTGTCCCTCCACCCTCCCAAGCATGACGTCCCTCTCCAAGGACTGATCCCTCCTTGTAACATGTCTAAAGTACATCAGACAAAGCTTCAGAGTCCTTGCCTCCAAGGAGCAGCCTGGTTTCACCCTCTCCAGGATGAACCTCTTCGTTATCAAAATTAGTCCTACCACAGCATTTCAACTCTTGACTGACTTATTAGGCATACTGGTTAGCACTGCCAGATTTTAAAGGACTTGATCTGATTTCTGACACCCTTGCCTTTGTAGCCTCTGAATTATGAAGAAAAGCAACAGGTGGTCCTGCAAATTGGAGTAGTTAATGAAGCACACTTTTCTAAAGACTCGGCTACAAAATCAGCCATGAGCACAGCGTCTGTTACTGTGAATGTGAGGAACCAGGATGAGGGCCCAGAATGTAGCCCTCCAGTCCAAACTGTACGGATTAAAGAAAATGCGCCCCAGGGATCGCAGAGCTTGGGCTACAAGGCGTATAACCCAGAAACCAGAAGCAGCAGCGGCATAAGGTGTGCTCTGAATTCCACTTCAGTGAAGTTGACATTTGATTTGATTTTCAAGTTATTTCTTTTCATTTGATGCCACTGCAAATTTTATTGTTTTCAATTCATCACAATTAACAGGTATAAGAAATTAAGTGATCCAAGAGGCTGGGTCAGCATTGATGAGAATTCTGGATCCATCAAAATTTTTAGAAGCCTGGATAGAGAAGCAGAGAGCATCAGAAATGGTATATATAATATCACAGTGCTTGCATCAGATGGAGGTAAGAAGTTTCTTTATACCCCAGCTACGTACAACCGAATTTGTATTCTTCCCCATAATGACATGGTTAAGATGTTTACTATAATTTATGAAATCGTGTATACTTCTCAATAACATCTATCCTTTAAGAAGTAATTTTATAATGATTTATTGATATAAATGCTTGAAGTAATTATTAAGGTTCAATACATTTAAAATTAAGAAAATGTTTTTAGTTCTGTCATTTTCAATATATTTAGTTATCTGTCACCCTGGTAGGCAAGTTTCCTACAGGGAATACAGACTTATTAATATGAGATCATACACTCCCTGAAAACAGGGACTGGTTTTCACAGGAAACGAGAAATAGACCTGGAGGTTATACTTATTATGAATAGTGTGTAAAAATAAAGCATATCAATCCTTTAGCCTTCCCTACTTATTTCCCAACTTTTACTTGCAGACAAAGCAATTGAAAATACCATGGCTTAGGTCAGGCACCCCTTAGTCTTTAAACGTCCATGCTCACTCACTCTTTAACACTTAAGGTCTCTAACAGCACATTTGTCCAATTTAATGACTGATTTTTTTGACTGGTACTTCCATGGTTGCGGGTCCAAGTAAAACGAAATCCTTGACGTCTTCAATCTTCCTTCACTTATAATGATGTTCAATGGCTATAATAGCTTTCTCTTATTAACTCAAAGTCACTCCGTAAGAGAGAGGTGGTGACAGTCTGCTTCCAAAAAAGATGTACAGCCTTGAAACCTTATGGAAGAGTTCTCTGTCCTATAGGGTCACTATAAGTCACAATCAACTTGAAGGCAAATTTCTTTTTTTAGTACAATGTCCTTGGTCTCTGTGATCTCTGGTTCAGAATTAGTTCTTAGCTTGGTGTCCTGGGTCTCCTGCCCAAAGATGACATCACAGAGCTCTGAGGGTCCCAGTGGCTAAATCATATCTGTTAACAGAAAATCAGTGGTTCAAAGCTGCTCCAAGGGGGGAAAAGTGGCAGTCTGCTTTGGTGAAGATTTACGCATGTGGAAATTTTGCTCTGTCTTACATGATAACAGTCAGCACTGACTCCCCAGCTAGGGCTCTTTTCACTGTGTCACAGCTGCCTTGGTCAAAAGCTGTGTCTGCTCTTCCTCTTTCCAGATGTTGGCAGTTGCTCAAGTTTAAGGCCTTTGTTTACACAGAAAGGAGGATTTGGATTGAGGACTTTGATTTGTTTTCAATTTTGTTGTTCAGTCCAGTGGAGTAGACTATGACTCGTAGTGACCCTGTGAAAAGCAGGTTTGAACGATGCTCTCTTCTGCACCATCCTCCTGACCTCAGTCATGCTCAAGGCCATTGTCACTATGTCGATTCATCTCACTGAGAGGTGTCTTCTTTCATTGACCCACTACCTTTCTCAGCATGATGTTCTTTTTCCAGGGACTAGTTCCTCATGATAACATGCCCAAAGTGTGTAAGGCAAAATTTCACCATCCATAACTCCAGGGTGCAGCCTATTTGTACTCCTTCCCACACAGACTTGTTTGTTCTTTTGACAGCCCATGGGATGGTCAGCACTCTTCTCCAACATCACAATTCAAATGCACCATCGGTTCTTCTGTCTTCCTTATTTATTGCCCAACTTTCAGATGCCTAAGAAGCAATTGCAAATACTATGATTTGGGTCAGGTGTACCATAGACTTTAAACTTGCAACTTTGGCTTTGTAAATGTTACTGATTTGCAATCTGGATCCATAGTTGCTTCATCTTTTAATACCTTTCCATTTCTGTGTCATGTGAAAAGTAAATAGTAGATAACTTTCTTAAAACTACATGCCTTTGAGCTGTGGTGTTGGAGAAGAGTATTGAATTTACCATTGAATATAATGTGAGGGAAACGAACAGATTCATCCTTGTTGTTTGTTGTTATGTGCTGTTGAGTCACTTGTGACTCATAGCGACCCTATGTACAACAACCCTAAACCCTGCTCTATCCTGTGCCAATTGCACTGCCTCTGACACACTGATCCCGATTACCCCAGTCACTGAATCAATCTACCTCATAGAGGGTCTTCCCCTCTTGTGCCGTCCCTCCACCCTCACAAGCTTGATCTTCCTCTCCAAGGACCTGTCCCTCCTTACAACATGTCCAAAGTATGTCAGACAAAGCCCCAGAATCGTTGCCTCCAAGGAGCAGCCTGGTTTAACCCTCTCAGGGATGAATCTGTTTGTTTTCTTGGCAGTCCATGGTCCATTCAGTACTCTTCTCCAGCACCACAGCTCAAAGGCATCAATTCTCCTTCTGTCCTCCCTAGTCATTGTCCAACTCTCTAATGCATAACAAAGACCATACCCTGTATCAGATGCACCTTAGTCTCCAGAGTGACACCATTGCTCCACAGTACCCTGGAGAGGTCCCTAACAGCAGACTTTCCCATTGCAATATGTTTTTTGATTTCCTGGCTACTGGTGCCAAGAGTGTTGACCGTGGAGCCAAGCAAACTAAAGTTGTTAACAATCTCAATCTCTTCACCATCCATCCTGATGTTGCCAATTGGTCCAGTGGTGAGAATCTTTGTCTTCTTGACATTGAGCCTCAATCCATACTAGAGAGAGTTAAACCAGGTTGCTCCTTGGAGGCAAGAATTCTGAAGCTTCATCTGCCATTCTTTGAACGTATCTCCAATCCTTGGAGAGGGACATCATGCTTGGGAGGGTGGAGGGACAGTGCAGGAGAGGAAGACCCTCTATGAGGTGGATTGATTCAGTGACTGGGGTAATCGGGGTAGGAGTGTCAGAGACAGTGATTTGGCACAGTATATAGCAGGGTTTAGGGCTGTTGTATATAGGGTTGCTATAAGTCTCAGGTGACTCAATGGTAAAAAACAACATCAACACATTCCACTGTGGTTATCTTAGTTTGTGTGTTGTTTTCCATTTCTGGAGCTCTTCATCCTCCAGACATTTCCATTACTGTCTTGTGTTGGTTTCCACCCTCTTAATTGTCAAAATGCATAGTTCTAGCATTCAGTTTCTCTGTTTCAAGCCTTTCGTGCTTTCTGTTTGTTAAACTCTGAGCCGCCATCCTAACATGCAAAGCCCTTCTTCCTCGTGACCACATCCACTTGTCTTTCCTCTCAGTGTCTCCAGATGATGTTGGAAGCATGCTTCTAAGTTTCCTTTTACTCTTAAGAATAACAGGAACAATCTTGTTCTTCTCCTCTTCCTATTTCCTTTTAAAGATCTGTCAAAATTCACCTTTATAAAAAGTCTCATGTCTCTTCTGTGTATTTAGTGATGAAGGAACACACTCAACTTACGCTCAATTACTGAGTGTAAAATCCTTCTGGAAGGAACAGGGTTTTTGTTAATATCACAGGGAATGCAGCCTATGACGGTGCTTGTCGTTATAACTTACATTGTAGATACTTTGCTGATCCTCCAGTAGAATTTTCAAGACTTTAAGTCACAGATGCACAAATTACTCATCTTTTGCCCTAGGAGCAGCTGGTGGATTTGAACCATGTGCCTTTGGGTTGGCAATGCAACAAGTACCCACTAGGCTACTAGAGCTTCGTAGACGCTTAATATTTTAAAACAGATAAAAATGTTTTGAGTTTTTAACTTTATCCTAAAACTCCCAAACATAAAAAAAAAATCTCTTTTTATTCTTTTTTTTGTCCCGCTCTAGTTGGAAGAACATGTACGGGGACACTAGGCATTATACTTGAAGACGTGAATGATAATGGCCCATCCATCCCTAAGCGGACAGTCATCATCTGTAAAACCACCATGTCATATGCAGAGATCGTGGCTGTGGATCCCGATGGCCCTAACCATGGCCCACCCTTTGACTTCAGCGTAGAGAAAGCTGTTGGTTCAGATGCACGAAGATGGGAACTGAGAAGAATTAATGGCACGTATTCCTAACCATTCCTTTATTCCTTTCAACATCAGGTAGTCTACAGTATATTTTTCTTTGTATAATAGAAGGATAATTCACAGGTGGGAAAAAAATACAGTGAAACATAGCAACTTTCTCACTTTGAGTGAGGTGGGAAGTAGGCCTTGTGTTTATTTCTAATCCTGTGCTAGGAGTGACGTAGGTGCTGCGAGAATTCTTGTTCCTGTTTCAAACACTCCCCTTAGAATAGGTCTAACATTGGTTCTTGACTTATGTGCACTTCCTACCTACATAGATTCTTTGTATTGTGATTTTCTATACTTAATCGTTTCCAAGGTCATAAGAAAACCTCCCTTGGTGGTTAATGTAGCTGTTAGAGAAACAGACTTAAAGAAACATGCTTGGAATTAATGACGATGAAAAGAGGAGGAAGTAGGATTGCACAGGAGAAGTTATGTTGCAGCTCAGGCCACATAACAGACATGGTTAACACCCATGTGGAGTCTGGACCTACATAAATGATCCTTCACGGTAGTTCACAGTGAGCCTCTGTTTACACTACTTAGTGCTCAAGTCAGTAGATGTGGGCCGCCCAGAGGATAAGGTACCATCACTGAAGGTGTTCACAGATTCCTGCCAGCTGTACCAGTTATAGCCTTTCATGTTGTTTTTGTTATGTGCCATTGAGAGGCCCTATGAGCAGTGGCTCTGAACCTTTGCCTGTCCTGAGCCAGCCTGACCATCTCAGACACACCTGAGCCTATTGCCAGAGTCACTGTGTCAATTCATCTCACCCATGGTCGTCTTCTGTGCTGAATCTTCCAAACATGATGTCTTTCTCCAAGGACTGGTCCCTCCTGGCGATATACTCAAAGTATATGAGATGGAGCTTCAGAATCCTTCTCTTCAAGGAACAAACTGGTTTCACCTTCTCCAGGACAGACCATGATGTTCTGTTGGTAGACCGTGGTTTGTAATGTGCCCACCATCCTGCTTCTTGTCAGGCATAGCATTCAACTTAGCTCACTGTCATAGAGTCAGAACTACATCCTAATGGACCAGCCAGCGGGTTTTCAGAGGCATAAATTGCACGGGAAGACGTTGCCCATCTCTCTCTGAGGAATGGCTGGTGGATTTGAACAGCCAGAAAGGCTCAGCCAGTGAATTAACAGTGCAGCTCTCTGTGTTAGCTTCTCGTTACTTCTCCTTTGTTATGTGCTACAGGGGATTCTCTTCTGATTTGGTTCCCAGTCCTACTTAAAACTTTTGTCCAGGGCAGATTCCAGAGTGACAGGAAGGAATAAATTAAAGGATACTTATCTTAACTCTTTAGCAAGTCCCTCCCTTTCTTGTCCAATTGTCCCTGGGCTCCAACATCATAATCTAACAGGACTTGTTTCATGACTCAATATCCAGTGTAAACTGATTCCTTTTCTTGATCTATAACAAATATTGACACTTTGTAATTGATCCCTGGGCCTTTTAAGACCCTGAGATCGAATCCCAGTAACAGGACTCACGAGCTCACTTTTCCACCAGTCAGCCATGATTTAAAAAATATGACAGTAAATTATGTTTACTTATAATTTTTTAGCACACTTTAAGAAAGCCAACTTATCTGTTTCAGTGCAATGTTCATTATCCCCTCTTATTCTACTTTCCTCCCAAACCCTCTTGTTAGACCTGCTTTTTAACAGTAGTGTTATGCAGTATTTGTCCTTTGGTGACTGAGATATTTCACTCAGCATACTGTCCTACAGGGTCTCTCATGTTGTGTAATGTTTTCTGAGTTCATTGTTTTTCAGAGTTGCATAGTATTCCAGCCTCGAATAAGAGGTATATTGCTAATAGGACTGGGTAGGTGGAGGGAGGTAATTGTACAACAATGAATGAATAATTTTTTTTTTAAAGAGAGAACTGGGGGAGGCAGAAAGGAAGGAGAAAGGATAAAAATGTCCAACAATGAATGAATGAAAAATTTAAATTTTCTGTAAACTTTTGTTAAAATCCCAGTTTAAATTAAAATTTTTATTAGAAAAAAAGAAAACCAACTTAGAAGAAACACCTTAATAATAAGTTGCTTTCTGATAAATCAGGTGTAGAAGAAAAATACACACTGGATTGTTTAATTAGGTATTTTAAATGATAATGCCAATGATTTTTAACCATCCCATTAGTTTTTACAGTAGGAAGGATCAAACAGACAGATTAAAGCCACATGATTCTAAAAGCCTAAAATTTTTAAATAAGAGGCAGCAGAGACAAACTATTATATGGAATCTGCTTGTAATGGTGATAAAATAGATCTGCACAGCTCATCCTCACAATCTTGTAGCAATTGCGTCTTCCCGTCAGGAGCATCTATTTGTATAAGAGTATTCTATGTGTATAAATATTCTGTATATGTAGTTTCTAATATTCAATGTTATACTTCAATGGTGTAACGTCTGTTTCTGTTTTCTTTCAGATACGGCAGTACGCCTTTTCTATAGGGACGACCTTCCATTTGGAACATATGATGTACAAATCAGGGTGACTGATAGAATGGGCCAATATAATGTCAACTCAGTCAACGTTTTGCTATGTGACTGTGTTACTGAATATGACTGTACAAGTCGTATAAGTCCAAGAACTGGCAGTAGTGAAGTAAGACTTGGAAAATGGGCCATCCTTGCAATATTGTTGGGCATAGCAATGCTATTCTGTAAGTTCCTTTCATGAGTTTAAATAGACTCTAAAATAACTTTAAAGAAATATTCTTAAAATGAAGCACTGTTATCCATAGCTTTTCATTTGCATGTAGCTTTATTTCCATTCCCAACACAAAATGTATTCATGTATTTGAATTCATTTCTAGATCTATTGTCTTCTTAACATAGAAGTAACATTAATTGTAGAAGTACAGATTTTACTATGTTTCTTTGTATATTTGTTTAGGTCAAATGCTGCCATTGTATACTACTTGTCATATACCTGTGGTGTTGGAATCCACTCACATCTGATCCTCTAGCAGGTTTTCAGAGGAAGTTAATTGCAATGGAGGAGATTGCCCATCTTTCTCCCATAGAGCAACTGGAGGATTCAAATTGCATGCTTTGGGATTGGCAGTGCAATTCTTTTTTTAACTAGGAATGAGAGCTCCTGGAATAAAAATTAGGAGACACTTTTTCTACTTATTGCTGCCTGTGTTATAAAACATGTGTTGCTATTAGTTCAGTTTTTAAATCACAGTGACTCCTTGACTCCTTGTCTGCCTGGTGGAATTGAGCCATATAGTTTTCAAGGCTGTGACCTTGCAGAAGCTGATTGCCAGAACTTTTGTCCTAGGCATCTCTGAACGGATTCTAACACCAGCCTTCTGGTTAGCGGTAGAGCATTTGCTCATTTGGGTCACCAGAAGACACCATTGTGTATTAATCATTACACACTCATATGGTCACATTCTTTTGAGGATAACCCCAGGTACTTTTTTTCCTTCCTATAGGTATTCTGTTTACTCTAATCTGTGGGACTTCTGGTATACACAAACCGCAAAAGGAATTTCCAAATGATATTACTCAGCAGAACCTAATTGTGTCAAATACTGAAGCTCCCGGAGATGACAAAGTGGTCAGTACTATGACTTGTTGAAGGAACACAAAGTTGTGAATTGCCCTAGTTCACTACAGTTTTCTTTTCTTGGTGAATTATTTTGATGTCAAATAGCTTGCAGTATATCAAACATCATTACATCTATGAAATAGAGAAAATGATGTTGATTCTTATCATAAAGAGAGATTTTAATTAGAACATACGATGTTATTTAGTAGTAAAAACTTCAGCGAGTCATTACTATTTTCTCCTTCAAATGTTTTTGTGACCTTTTATGTATTTTTAAACCGCTGTTTATGTTGTTAAACTGTTTCATTTAATGATTCAGAGATCACCAGGATAATTACTTTCATTTTTTTTACCCCCAACAACAGAAATAAAATCCCTATAAGCTTTGATCACTGTGGGAATGGCTTTAATGGAATCTTTCTGGTTCTAATATGGGTTAGAGAAAGCCTGAGGTCAAATACAAGCAGCAGCAATGCTAGAAAATGATTACTTTCCTTCAGTTTTGTTTTTAGCCAGTTGATAAAGAAGTAATTATGGTCCTTTAAAAAGGTGATTATAGCAGGACAGATTTAGAAAGAAGAAAGAATAATAGCATGTAGAAAGAGATTGAGAAAATAAAACTAATCAAATTAAAGTTTCCTGTTAAAAGACATTTTTCTATAAGCTGTGGTGAATTAACGGTAAGAAGCTGTCCTGCAGTCCTGAAGGCACACTGTTCAAATCTACCAACTGCTCCTTGGAGGAGGATAGGCAATGTGCTCTGCAGGTGACACAGCCTTGCATGCTGAAAGTGAGGAGGACTTGACACACTTAGTGCAGAGGATCCAAGACTATAACCTTCAGTATGGATTCCATCTCAACATCAAGAAGACAAAAATCCGCACTACCAAACTAATAGGCAATATCATGATACATAGAGAAAAGGTTGAAATTGTCAATATATTAGTCTTACTTAGATCCACAGTCAACATCCTTTGTAGCAACAGTCAGATCAGAAGACCTATTGCATCAGGCAAATCTGCTTGGATTTTTCCAACTTACTGAGGAAGAATTGAATGATATCAGTTTGAAAATTAAGATGCACCTCATTCAGGCCACAGTCTGTTCAGTCCCTTGGTTTTTTTTGTTTTGTTTTGTTTAATTTTTTTTTTCAGTCCCTTGTTTTGCATCTGAGAGCTGGACAGTGAATAAGAATGACAAAAGAAGAATTGATGGCTTTGAGTTGCAGGGCTAAAGAAAAACACTGAATAACCCATAAACTGCCAGAAAACCAAAACAGATTTTGTTGTTATTGATTGCGTTTGAGTCAAGCATGACTCATAGCGATCCTATGAACAGAAGGCCTGAAGCCCACCTACTACATTTATCAAAGTTCATAGAGTTTCCAGAGGCATGTTGTTTAGGAAGTGGATGTCACTTCTGCATATGTGTCTTAGAAAAAGTGCAGCCAGAGTGCTTCTTAGAGGCAAGGATGGCAAAATACTGTCTCACATATTTTGACCATGTTGCTAAGAGGGGCTATTCTTCGGAAAGGGATAGCATGCTTAGAAAGGTAGAGGATCTGCATAAGAGGGTCGGTAGACTGATCCAGTGGCTGCAGCAATGTTGCGATGGTTTTGGCACATGCTAGGACCTGGTTCAGATATGTTAGTTGGAGGGTCACTATGAGTGGTATTGACTCAGTGGAACCTAAACAAAATAACAAGACAGCACTGAAAATGAACAGCCACAGCTTGGGCGGTCTACATCTTTTCTCTATCAGATTTGCTTTTCTTTCTTTTTATTGCCAATATTTATATGATTGCAGTTAAGATTGATATGGCAACAGTATTTCTAATCTTCTTGTTTTAATTATGGGGACTGGATTAAACATTGCAAGAAATACTAATCATTACAATAGCTTCTGCTGTAATCGGCCAAAATTTAAATTTTGCTGGGTCAGGACAAACTCAGCTTCATAACTGACCCTCCAGAAATTTTTTTTTCTTATTGTTGAGGAGGCTAAAAGTAATTCAGACTCATAGTTGACCTATCAGTGGATTTTCAGAGGTTGTAAATCACACAGGATGAGATTAACCATCTTTCTCCGATGGAGCAGCTAGCTGGTGGATTTGAACAGCCTGCCTTTGGGTTGGCAATGCAACTCCTTATCCACTGATCCACTAGAATTCCTGTGCTAGCATTACATTGTGTACTATATTTGGTTTATAATTGTCACTATTGTTAACTACCATTGAATGGGCCCTAAACTGTGGCAACACCAAGCCCAGTGGAACTAAATGCTGCCTTCTTCAATTACAGATCAGATCATTGGGATCCACTGGGTTTTCATTGGCTGATTTTTGGAAGAAGATCACCAGATCTTTCATCCTAGTCCATCTTAGCTAGGTGTGCAGGATTCCCAAACCAAGCTGTCCCCCTGCCTTCGGAGAGCTTACCTTCTAGCACAAAAAACAAAGAAACACAGCAACATATGAATGGGGGTGTTCTTTTTTTAATAACTTCTTAGTCACCTCTCTCTCTCTCTTTCTGCAATTCCATGTTTTATTTCAGTATGCCACGGATGGCTTCACATCCTATGTTGTGGGCTCTGCTGCTCCAGGAATTTGTGGCACCGTGGGGTCAGGAGTAAAAAATGGCAGACAGGAAACCATTGAGATGGTGAATGGACACCAGACGTTGGAATCCTGCCGGGGGGCAGGGCATCATCACACCCTGGACGTGTGTAAAGGAGGGGGACACCACACCCTGGACGTGTGTAAGGGAGGTGGACACCACACCCTGGATTCCTGCCGAGGAGGACATGCAGAGATGGACAACTGCCGATACACGTACTCCGAGTGGCATAATTTCACTCAATCCTGTCTCGGTGAAGTGAGTTTACCTCTGTTCTTCCAATCTGTTTTTTGCTTTTCTTTTACATTTTAACATGATTACAATTTAATCGCCTAATCATTACTGCAGTTACTAATCTATTCTCTGGAAAGTTATTCTTCCCTAATTTTGACTTGATTATTTTCAAATGTCAGTGGATTGTTTTCTTCTCCTTCTCCTATGTTCTTAAATGCTCTTACTAAAATAATGGGTGATGATACTTAAATTACTTCTCATGTGATTTTCATGTTAACATTTCCAGCCTGACAACTTGTGTCTTAAGAAACAAAGTTGACAGGAGGCGGAGGTAGTGTGTACAACTGCTGTGCCTTTCTGGAAAGATCTGAGCGCACATCAGTTTGAGTTCTGTTTTGCTTTCAGCAGTAATTGTGAAAGATAAATGGATGACTTCTTAGAATGAACACTTGCATACTTGCTACCACAGATGTGACTTCTAGAAATCTGCTATATATTGCTTTAATGGTGTGATTGATGCTAGAGACCAATCATGTGCATTTTCTGTATGTAGGAATCCATTAGAGGACACACTCTGATTAAAAATTAATCAATGAAATTAAACAATGGAAAGGTAAATCAAAGCCATTCTTTTTATGTTACTAAGTTCTGGTGTTTAAAATAATAATAATAATAATAAAAGAGGTTGCGCTTTTTTTCTTTTGACAGAAGGTGCAGCTGTGTCATCAGGATCCTGAGCATAATCCCGCTCAAGACTACGTCCTTACATACAGTTATGAAGGCAAAGGATCGGCGGCTGGCTCTGTGGGTTGTTGCAGTGAACAACATGAAGATGATGGCCTTGAGTTTTTGGATCATTTGGAGCCCAAGTTTAGGACACTTGCAGAAACATGCGTCAAGAGATGAGCTCGCTCTCACAAGTCCGCAGAAGCAAGGGCTTTGACTCTCCTTTCTCCTTTTTTGTTTTTGTTTTTTCAGTTACAAGCCAAGACTTTTAAAAAATAGAAGACACTGTGTCTTGGACTTTCCCCCTTTATTTCCATGGAGACTCATTGACCATATGCACATTTACAGAGATACACTGTATATAAATGCACACAGTTTTCCAATTTTGCGTAGTTTTTACTTATCTCTTTCACCTAAGGAGATCTACAAACAGAAAAACCAAGGAAATCTCTATTGTTGTTTACATTTGGATATGATGATAATAGATAATAGTTGTACAATAAAATTTAAGTACTTCAAGTCCACATTATAGACTAAGGGTCAGAATTGACTCGATGAGAGTAGAGTTTTATTAAACTATAATCTTATGAGAAGGTTATAGAGAACTTGCTTCACATTATCCCTAGTTAAACAGCTGTCTTTGTGTGGTGCTTTAATGTTGCTCCCCTAAGTATTCTTAAAGTGTAGATACTGCTTTCTTGATATGTCTTATTCTTACAGCATGGCCTTTCTTCATAACTTAAAGAGAGGGTTCCTAACAGGTATTGGCTTTTATTGCAATAATAATTGGCTCCGTTTTACTGGAGTTTAGTTTTTAGGTTTGGTTCTGTATATTTTAAAAAATAAAAATACCCAAAATTTCCATCTTCTCTGTTACCTTTTGTGTCATTGAATTTTAAGTTTCAAAAATGTTTTCTGAATATATTTTTAATTCTTTCTAGTTTTTGGTCTTTGAAATACTGAATGGTGTTTCTTTCTGTTCTTTGTTTTGTTAAAATGTCATGTTTGAGATGAATAATACAAATGTTTTTAAGTTTTTTAAGTTATCTATTATCTTCTCTTATAAAGTGAATTCTTTCTCTTTTTTTGTTTTGTTCTGTATAAACATGAACATCCTTGAAACCACTGCAATGTTACTTTCTTTGTTTCAGTTATCTTGGTGATTGCTTCAGTACATCCTCAACAGAGAACTTTTCTTTACATCATTGAAAGTATAGAAACGACATTCTTTTATTCACTTCTCAATTATTGACATTGTTTAGTTTTGAAGACCAGTTCAAGATGTAACAGTTTGTTACATGAAAATAGAATATAACCATATCATATTGACAAAAAACCGCATATATCGTTACATCCTATTAAATGACATCATCACATAACCCTAAATTTCATCATTAAATAACTGTCACATTGCATTTATTTTTGCTTAACTGCCAGATCACAGATAATCAGGGCTCAGCCGTGTTGACACCTTAGTCACCATAGCCGGCCATGATACATTACTCTTACTTTATACCTCTTGGCCATTCTGCCAGATTTGCATTATTAATGCATAAACTAAATAGTAGATTTTTCATGATCATATATGCAACAAGTCAGATTATGTGTTAGAAGTGCAGAGTGAATGGATTAATAGTTTGGTAAGTAAGATGTGGAAATGTAGAATTCAAAAATTTAGAATCGATTCCGTTTATAAAGGGGAGCTCTGCTGGGCTGGTGGTAAGCAGTCGCACTGCCAACTCAAAGACATTTGATTCAAATCCACCAGCTGCTGTACGGGAGGAAGATGGGCAGTCTCTTTCTGTGTGAATTATTGCCTCTAGAAACCTCGTGGAGGGTCTGACTTGATGGCATATAATAAGACAACAATCATTTATAACTAAAGCTAGAGACAGTTTTTTAAATTAAGCTTTGAAATGAAATACCTTAAAAACTACCTAGGGGTAACAGTTTTGTATCTTCTTAGATGAGATGACTAATCATATCAATGTGCTTGTGAAACTATTTTTTAATATACAAATTTGACAAATATGTAAGGAACCAAATATTTACATTTTTAAATAAGAGAATTAAAATTGAGACAATAAAAATCAAATATGATCTTATTACATATTTTTATTAATGGTTTCTGAATGTATAATGACCATGTTAATACCTAAGCTGTATTTCTAATGTTTATGTTTGTTAATAATGTGCCTGTCTTAAATTCCCAAGGTGAGTTATAGCTATTTTTAAGGATTGAAGCCAAATGTTTAATAATTAGTTTTTCTTGTCAATGATTTTATTATTGCTCAGTAGAAACTAAAATTTGCCAAAGTTATTTTTAATAAAATATATAGAAATGTCATATCTATTAGTAGTTCTGATAAATTAGATGGAAAGTTGATTAAGGGATTTTATTCTTACGGGATTATCTTTAGAATACTGTGACATATACAGCATATATCTGTGTAACATATATATAATTTTAGGATTTTATTTGGAAAACCCTTTGTTCCATTTATAACACCATATTTACATAACTTTACTATTCTAAAAAACTATGATGTGATATCATATTAAGTTGTATATCTTCACCTCTTTTTTTCATATTAAAATGAGAAACAGTCATAGAACTTATTTTCTGGGGTGGTTGTACAACATTTGAATTAAAAAAATGGGTTTTAAGCATTAAAGTCTTAAAGAGTGGTCCACAGAAATTACATTCCTAGTGATTCTGAATCGTTTGAAGTAAATCACAATGTAAGACCCTTAATCATGTTAACAAAATCAATTACTAGGAGACTGGGAATTTGTTTTAAGTTATTATTAGTACTCTTGAATATGTCTCTTTCTAACTATAAAAACACTGTTTACAGAAGTAGGTCAGAAAAGTACTCTTGAATATGTCTCTTTCTAACTATAAAAACACTGTTTACAGAAGTAGGTCAGAAAAGTCTGACCTGCACTGTTTCACAAATAGGAGGAATCTCCATCAACAACAGCAGTTGAACAAAGGCAATTCTATGAGGTCCAGCATTCTTCTGTACTCCATATATGATCAATTGCAATGTAGCTGTCCCAGCTGTAAACCAGCTGCTCCTTCCAGAACTCTCACTAGTCTACTACGGAGTTTTCTAACTCCTTGCAATGGCCACACAGAACTCAAAGACAGTACTCAAGATTATGGGGTTTATTAGGGAAGTAACAGGTTACAGCTCAGGTCAGAAACACTCAGGACACAATTCTTCAGGACAGCCGCTTCAGATTTGTGCTCACAGGTAGGCCTCTTATCTGACCTTTGATTTCTTGGCCTTGTACTTGGACAAGTGTTTAAAATAAAATTTAAAAATTCTATATAATATAGGAGAGGCTAGGGAGCGTTACTAACGCTGAGTGATCGCAGTCTCAGAAGGACAAATACTGCATATGATTATTGTAAAAATAGGGTAACTAGTAAGATGTCCAAAGGGGAAAGGGGGCCTGAGGGTGCAGGGGGGTGGGGAATCACGGGGTCACAGAGTTTGATGGGAAAAGAGAGAGACCGAAGGAATTAGGATAGACCTTGGGACCTGAAAAGATGGGGTAACAGTGGGCATAGATCAATGAGGATTAATTTTATAAAACGCTGTAGATGAAAATGAACGCATGAAACATCATGTGAAGAAATATGAAACAATTTACATGAATAAAACACAATATACAAATTTTGTATGCAGACCAACATTTAAAAAAAAACAACACAAAAAACAACAAACAACCCCAACCAAAAAAACCCCGGCCAACCAACCCACAGAACCCGGTTCTGCCAATGATATGCACTGCCGTCCACCCCACCCAAGACACTTGCTCTGACTCCCTAGTGCGGCAGGTCTACCAGTTTTGTCTCTCGTTGGTCTCTAGTTCTCCACCCCCCTTGCTATCATTAACACTGCTCTTGTCAGAGCTATTGTATCTCTGTCCCCACCTCTCTTGATGATAGTTTGTTACCCTTTTTCAATCTCCAAATTTGCTCAATTTAAGGCAAAACTCTACAGTCCCTACATTAGTGGTCCACACATGTTATTTGCACATACCTACCAAAAAGATAGGGAGCTTTTTTTTACCTTACTAACAAGCTATCCAATCCCTTTATTGGGACAAACATCTAGCGTGCAGCCATTAGGCAAATGTAGTGAGTTTGCACCACTAACCCCAAAGACTGCATGTCTCCTGCAGTTCATACTGACCCCTCATGTACAGCCTCCTATTATTATTTATAGCCGAGAAAATGCAATAAAAGAATGCTGTGAGTCAGAACTGACTCATCAGCAGTGAGTGAGACCCAGCCACGTAAGAAGCACTGTAGTCTAATGTATTATATGTTTCAGTTTTAACGTCATTGGTACAAATCCACCAACTTCACTGTAAGAGAAGGCTCCTTCCATAAATATTTACCGATTTGGAAACCCAATGGAGGGTCACTATGAGTCAGAATTGACTGGATAGCAGTGTTGTGTACCATCGAGGCAGAAATGACTTGTAGCTGACCCTCCAGAGGGTTCTCAGAGACAATTTAATTGCATGAAATGAAATTGCCCATTCTCCCTCGGAGCAGAAAATGGGTTGGCAGGCTTGTTTTCTGTTGCTTTGTTTGATCCAGCCTGTGAGAAGAGACACAATGATGAGGAAAACCACATTGAACAAGTCACTGACAAACTAAGGTTGATGTGTCTTTTATATTTGAAACAAAATATTCAAACTCCGTAGTTTACTATCAAGTCAGAACCATAACTGACCCTACAATAGGGCTTAGGGAGGCAGTAAATCACAACAAAGGAGATTTCTCATTCACCAGAAAGGTTTGAATTTGAGTTTGCAGCACAACTCCCTACAGTCTATGTATGCTACCAGAGCTCTGTTGCAACTAATCATTCAAAATGTACATTGCAAACATTGCTGAATTGTTTGCACAGCTTTTCAGGTTTGATTGTTATGAAACTACTTGTTTCAAATTAGAAGGTCATACACTGTTTAAATGGGCAATAATTCCAAAGTCCTATAAAAAATGCTTGTGATTAAGATTTCTCCTGTCAAACTTCCCACAGTTGTTCCCAATGATGTTATTTTGGGAATTCCCAGTCATTTGCCTGGGAATTTAGGGCTTTTTGACTGTCATCATGGTAACTCTAAGAGCAATGACTCTATTGTAAGGGACTTTG